GAATTTCGCTGAGAACTTCTCTGCATGACCCTTAGGGTGAGTACTGGGAGCTCTGTCTAACTGAAGATCCCAAATCACTTTTTGGAACTATTAAGAAGTGACAAGCTCAAGTGTTGAATACCATTATATACCAAAATTCAAAGACAGGGTTTTTCTCTGGGAGTCCCTGCACTTTGCTCAGGAACTTCCCACCATGAGGCAATGGAACAATGCACAGGATGTAAAAACTGAATTCAGCCACCAAATTCTGGGTATGTGCCTTACAACAGAGATTCTGGGCACCTTCCTTCTGCAACAAGGAGCTACACAATACAAAACTGTCAGTCCTGATTTAGCAGCAAAGAGTTGCTAAATTGACTTCTGTAGAAGTAGAAAATTTTGCTTGGATCTTCATGTTCAGTAGTAGAACAGTAATACCTAAGTACTTAAGTGAGACTGATCTGTTCTTCCCTACATAGAACACGAAAATCCAAGCAAAATTTTCTACTGCTTTATGGGGCATTTACTGTGAATGTTCAATGCACTGAATAGGGGAAGGGAAAGAAAGGAAAAGAGTGTAATGATACCTCAAAACTTTAAAATACAAAAGCACATTAATCCTAACAAAATGATCCCATTAAGCAAAAAGAACTGCAATGTATCTATCTATGATACATGGATTAGTGAATCTCTGACCACTGAGTTTAATTTATTCTACCAAATTCATACTGTATGCTGAAACACTAATCAGTATAGAACAAGATGATCTGTACTTCCTCAGGAATGTATGGTTATTACTCATTTTAAGTTCAGTGAACCACAGTTAAAAGAGCAGAACATTTACGACAGGGATTAGTGCTTTTTCCTTAATCACTGTAGGATTAAAACTACTCCATACCTTCATTGTATACTTTAATATCTTCATGCCTTGTAGGGCAATAGATCAAAATCTTAAGAACATGACTCAGTAGTATCAGATAACAAAACAGTAACAAAGTGTATCTCTAGTAAGCATGCAAAGTAAAACAGGAAATCAAGGTATCAAATACTCAGCTCTGTAGTTCTATTATAGTGTTGCCTAACCTTGATAAAATCTTTGATGAGCTGGGCTGCTTTAACCCCATTCTGTACATTAAAGCTTATATCAACTTTTACTTCAGTGAAGGAATCTGTCAGTTTAATAATAGGTACCTGCAAAAGAAAGACAGATTAAGTCAATACAGATTTCCAAGACACATTTGGCTTAATTTATACTTATATGCACCAGTAAAACTGAAACATTTTATGAACTGTAGAGAGGAGGTAGGCAGAGAAATCAGGACTCCTATGCAGGAACTCGGTCTCCTTGCCAATCTGTTTGCATAAACTGCTTTTCTGACTCATAGATTTTAATTTTAATTTAATTTTCAATTGGTTTGGGTGAGTTGCTGGAGCTCAGCTCTGGTGGGAGCACGGACACCAGGGGGAGACAAACGCTGGAGAAACACACTGAAATGGTAAGAGAGACTCAGAACTGCCACACTCCTGTCACTGGGGTCATCGCTCCCTCACCAATGTCAACTTCAAACAAAAAGCACAAGATCTTGACACATTCACAAGTTTAACCACATTAATTCATGACAAGTCTAATCTCTCTCAAACACAAGTGTGTATTGTGCATATGGAATATCAGATGATTTCCCCAACAGAAGAAATGCTTCTGTTACTGCACTATCAATTCTCTCCTCAGTAATAAAAATCATACTAACTAAAAAAGTTCTATTGGTTCTGTTTCAAATTTAATATGCCAAATAGTTTCTGTTTGTGAAAACTCATTCTTTTAACCAAGTTCTTTCTTTGATTAGAAGTTTAGCTTAGAACAAGAAAACATCCTCTTCCCCCAAACTTACAGTTGCTTTATCTAAAACCTTCACTGAGTTTTCATCTGCTACGTTGTGCTTTCTAAGAGCTTCTTCCAGGGTCCAAAGAGGTAATGTCTCCCATTTTCCAAACACGACTAAATCAATATCACTGAAATGAAAAAAAGAAAATAAATTAATTCAAATTAAAAGGTCAATACACTTAAAATATAAACAACTGGCATCTATGCATAACTAGAATAAAGCTGATAGAACACAGCTTAGTCAAGTAATTTTCTGAGGAAAGGGGTGGGAATGAACTCTTACACTTGGAGAAATGCAGATACACACAAAAATTACTTAGGCTGCAAAGACTGAGATTAGCCTCCTCAGGCCACACTGTGAGCAGAGAGGGATTAGCATCTCCAGACTGATTCAGAGCAAGAAATCAACTTGTTGTGAATCACCATCTTTGGGCTGTATTGATCAGTAATGCCAATTTTACAGCCTGTCACCAAAAGGAAAGTCCTGTTGCCCATCCTCTGCTCCCAGGTGCACGTCCCTGTCTCCTCCTTTGCTCTAGGTCTGGTGTTTGCCTAACCCACAGCAAACCAGTTCAACCTATTAATGAGTCTGGCAGACTTTGTCCCCCCGTTAAAAAAACCTCAAAACACTCTGGAGTAATTTCCTGCCTCTTTGCATCTCCAGGTTGGTTTTCTGGGTGATCAGAGCAGCAGTAAGCACCTGGAAAGCAGCTGGGCTGTAGTTTCAAGAACAAGGAGCAGGGAAAGGGAGAGAAAAACATGGCAACTTTGACTTCAGGAAGCAACAAGCTGTTAAATAAGATCAAACCACCTAATTAACTTCACTCATTAACTCAGCTCCTTGAAGAGGTGTCTCCATCCTGCTACACTTCCTCCCTGTGCGCACACACACACTCATTTGACTACACAGGGAGCTGAGAACCTAATTCAATCCCTGAACTCAAATTCAAAAGGTGGTTGGTGTCCCAGCCGAAGACAGTGAGGGCTACTGTGACATCCTGAGCTTCTTCCTCTCTGCTCACCAACTTCTTTGGTTTTCCTGCTTGGCTGGGAACACAAAGGAGGTGAACAAGTTACTCTACAGTTATGCTAGCAGGACACTTCAGTGGTATGGAAAACTGCATAACAGAATACACCAAAAAATTTTGGAATAACTTTCCCTCCCAGTAGATTCTACAGGTCTGCTGATTTTCAAACAACACTGCTTGAACAGTGTCAGAGAAACTACATCTGCAGTAGATGAACCATCTCTGCCAAGGAGCAGCACCAGCAGCAGCAGTTCAGCAGCAGTTCAGCCACACACCATCTGGCTGACAAGGACAGGCAGCCAGCCTGGGTTCAGAAAACTGTGCTCAAAATCAGCTTGGAGAGCAGGAAATGCTGCTGGACATCTCTCTTCTAAACTAAATTATTGTTAAACCCACTGCTGATGCTGACAGCTAATAACAGGAGACATTTTTCTGATGCACACTGAGATGGAAAAAGCAGCTCCGTTGTCACCTGGAGTATAGATACTGCCAGCAAAGAACACAGACATCCAGCAGCTAAACAACTCTGTGCCCAAACCTTCAACATCAGCTTAAGGAAATGGATATAAGGCAAATTCTAACACAGGATTCAAAACACACTAGGTCTTTCTGAATCCCAGAACCTGAAATCTGAACTAACTATACAGTTACTGGCAGGTAGGGAAAAGCAGGGGCAAAGGGAAGATTTGACAGAAGACAACAGTGAATGAATGGCCAACACACAAATGCTGCTTATGTTGAAAGTTTGGCAAGCAGTGCCACAGGATTTTTTTTGTGGGTTTATGTACTGTTTGAAGTATCTGCATTTGTTCTCCCTCAAAACTTCATCTGAAACAAATACTGAAGCAAGGCAATATATGAAATCAAACAGACAACAGCTAAGTGTTTTTGTTACATCAGTGTCAAAGCAATCAAGCAAATATAGTAAAAAACTATCAGTCAAGTGGATAGGAATATCTCTTTTGCATTACCAGCATCGAATCAAATTTAATTAAGCCTATTTAAAATCAATGAAAAAGGGCCAAGAATGAGGCCAAATGTGAACACAATGAGTATTTGTACAATTCACTTCTGCCTTTCCAAACACAAACTGAGCAATTCAATTTCCCTGCAACTCCTGAGACTAAAGCAGCTACTAAAGCATCTCTCAGGTACTTTCTTTAACAAAAGGGATGAAACAATGACAAAGGTATCCATCACCTGCAGTCAGCACTAGCAATTAATTCCTCATGTTCACCAAGTATGGAACTCAGTTCAAGTGTTATCCTCAGACTTATCCATTTAAATGTGATTATCCCCTGCAGCCACTTAAGCTTTTTGTTCTGTTTCTGGTTAACTGTCAAAAATATTTATAATTTCTACACAGAAGATACCACTGTCACCAAGTAAAGACTTTCCTTTATGAAAATTAGTAGGTAGATATTGATTACTGTACAGATTTCACAAAAGAAGACTGAAAGAAAAAAGCCAATTCTGTATGCAATCTTTTTCTCTTCAGCAGTAACATTATCAATAACAAGGTAATGTTAAAGGTTTCAATGTAGTTGTCTGTGGAGATAAAATTTAGCTTTTCGTGTAAGGCCAAACTCTTCCTTTGGTTCAGTCGTTTAATTAAGCCAAATCACAACATAAGCTTTCTTGACCACATGGTAATTCAGACCCTTTACCAATACTTGCAAAATCTATATAGGCATGTGTATCACAGTTAGTAGTTCTACTTACTATATTTCTGTACACTTTGCAGAGTATTAACAGCTTAACACTTTCTTCACATACCAAGTATCAACACAAGTAACACAGACACTGGGAGTGCAGATAAACCTCCCTGGGGGTACAGGTTCAACAAGTGATCTTTTCTCTTGTATGGGATTTAAACTGAAAAATTACTAACCTTGTAGGCAAATATAAACCAGTTTTAAAACTTCCAAATATCTGCACCTGAAACACAAGAACAGAATATATATGAAGACAAATTTTCAGGCTTCAGAAGAGAAACAAGTTCCATTAAGCTGCTTGTAAAGGCCATTGCTACCCTCCATTGGCAGAGTCTGGTACTGCTCACAGGCACTCAACACTTCTGTTAAAGCACTCTCATCTCCAGTGTGCCATAACCAGCTGATCTTCGTTGGTATTGGCCATGAAACAGTAATAACTTAGACTTTTCTATTAAAACTCCTTTGTAAATTAAAAATTCTCCCCGTGACCAAATCTGGCAAAAAAACAGAACCCAAAAGATTTCAAAACACCTAGGGATGAGAGAACATGCAAAAAAAACAGTAACAGTTCAATCTGCTCTTCGCTTTCACATCTCAGAGCATACCCTTCAGTTTTTAAGCATTTTCTGAGTTTAATGTATTTCCATTGCTTTGCATACTTTCAAAAAATTCATGATAATGTGATCCATTTCATTTCTGAATTACAAAGCAGGTGGCACAACTCTGTTTGTTTCTGCTTAAACCACAACCAAAAAAAGTTTTGTCAAGCTTCACATCGCAGAGAATGACTTTATTAGGCAGGATTTTTACTGGCATTGGAGGTGTAAATCATCAGGTTCCCACTGTAAGCTGTGTGACTCTCATTAACTTCCCCAAGCCTCGCAGGAGGTTGGACTCATGCACCAAGTCTCCAAGGGAGGCTGGTGAGACTTCAAAGTAAAAATATCTACACATTTGGACTCATTTTCAACCAGACATTCTTCTGATGTGTTTCCTGGAGCCACCTTATACAGACTTGTGTATTCTGCTTTAATGAGCCTCATACACTAGCTTGATTGCCACCTATTTGTATGTCAAGTGACCCACTTTCTATGCTTTTCCCCTTCAGGATAAGAAAAAGGGGGAGACAGGAAAAGATGATGTTTTGCAAGTGTCTTAATATTGTAGTAGACTGAGAAGCAGTTTGAGTGCTTCTTCTTGATTATTTTTTATCACTTCACCCTTTCACCCCCTCACCCCACCCTCAAGAAAAAAGTACACAATTTAATGCTGAAAGTTCAGAGCTTCTCAAACTAGCAAAGACTGCAAGAGAGGCCACACAGTGAGCACCAATACTGCACCAGATCTTGACAAAAGCATAAAGGAATCACAAAGCTAAAAATGTAATTATAACAACTATCATTATTTTTAATCCAGGATAATAATAAAAACACCCTCTTAAAAACTGGGCTCAGTCAAACCAGGATTTATTTGACCACCAGAAATATATGAAAAGTGCTTTTGCACAATAAAATGATCACTGATGGGTTCAGAAAAAAACTAAATGTGCTTTCACAATATCAAACAAAAGTATGTTCAGCTGAACAGCAAAGAGAGCCTTTATTGAATAAATAACCCTGAAAGTATTAATAAACTTACAGATACAACATATATGACCTTTACCAAAAGGAATGAGACCACATCTGCTCTTGTACAATAATTTGGAGTATGAGAAACACTGAACTGTTATAAAAGAAACCCACACCCACACTTCAACCCTCCTCTCACGAAACCTGGAAAGACAGAAGAGTGGGGAAATGGGAACACAAATTGTAAAGGGTTTTGATTTATGAAGCTCTGTAGCCATGTACATATTAAAAGCATCCCAAATACAGGACACTATTATGGCTTGAGACATGAGCACTAGTTTTTGTGCTGTGCCGACACAGCCATCAAGTTTTGTTCTGTGTGGACAGAGATCTGTATTTGCACTCACAAGATAACTTCAGACTCCAACGGACTCCTGTTGTTGTTACTATTTATCCCACATTTCTGCAAACTTGTCCATATTAAATTCCAAGGCTCCCAAAGGAGCTTTAATTATGGTCCATGTCCAAATACGTGCTCACTGTGCACAACGGAACTTGGAAACCCACAGAAGCTTGGAAAGCCCTTGCTACCAAAATCCTTCCATCAAAACAAAACAAAAGAATCTATCCGTAGCCAATGTAATTTCCTTTCTTCAGTCATTAAGGAGAATTTTCTAAAGTTTGTTGAACTAAATAGAGACCATCTTTCCAGTTCCACTCCCAATCATAGTATTTTCATAACCGAAGCGCGTGAAGTATGCGACGTTACCTCTTTTCAGATCTAGGAGGTCACAGAACACTCAGACACGAAGCTGAGGACATTGTGACAAATGGATCCTGAATTCCACCGTGTAAGTACTTATTTGTTCAACAGTCAAACTTTCAGATTCAACTGGTCAAATATCTTTGTCCTAAAATGTTTTCATTTAATGTTTTGGGCTGTTCGGTTTCAGCGTAATTAAAGCCTTTCTTATGGTCAGAGCTTTGCTGATGCCAAGAACAGTTCTCACTTACTAGGAATGTTTCCTTCTAAGCACATTCCCTTGAGTAAGAGAGCAAATGACACAATTGCTAACTTCTATAAATAAAGTAACAGTTTAGGATACCTAGTTTTACCCCCCCTCCATCTGCTTTTTCAGCCTTTTCCTAAGTGGAACAGAGGAGGAAAGAAAAAGAAGTAGGTGCTCAGGCACATTCCACACATTCTCTCTGTTTAGATTCATGAAGCCTGATTTTCCTTTTCTTGGTACCTGATTTTTTTAGAGAGTTATGTCTTACCTATGTGTTTAGTCAGCAACTACAAACTAAATGTGTATGTTTAACTTAAAAGTTTATTTTAGCTGTTTTGGTTTGTATCTATGACTCAAAATGAACAGCTTAAACATTAACTCATTGCTTGACACTACAGTTAAAGCTGAGGACATTGGACCAGATAACACTCCACCTTCTCACAGCATGAACTCCAAACCTGAAAGTTTACTACTTAGAAGTAGCTAAACCAACACAGATTTCCAAAAGGTTAGTGATTAACTCAAAGAACTGAAAAATTACAACAAGAGACTGACAAAGTTGAACACAGTTGAGTTCAACAGTTCAGTTCCCAACTGATCTGCTAAAGTAAGTATTAGAACAATAACAGCAATTTCTGAACTATAACCTGACATGCTGTTGTCACTGCTCAGTTCCCTTCCAGCCTCTAGAAAACGGAAGGACATACAAAAGGAGAATTCTTCCTCAACGTAACAACTGCAGGCAAAATGCAGTCAGGCTTTGAAGAACAGTTACTGACTTGAGAAAAAGGAACTGGCACACTTGCTCTCTAACATTTTGAAGCACAGAGGAGAATGTCCTGGCTGTTTTAACTGGCACTAATTGAAAAGTGAACTTCAGTTTTCAACTCCACAGTGTGTGCTTCCTCTCCATCATGTTACAGCTGTCTCTTGTGGTAGGGCTTGTAATTTGCTTCCCCTTCTTCAACACATTGTGACTGCAAAAAGGTTTCAGTAGCTTAAAGAAAGACTATTTTCTCAAGGCCCCAAAGTAACATATGTACACACATAGCTACATATATGTGTATGTATGTATGCAAAAAGTTATTTTTAATACAAAAGACCTAACTTTTACAGATCAAGCCTGTCCTACAAACAGTGTCTAACAGCACTAAGCAATTGTGCCCCATTCAAAGTGCTAATGGTAACAAAGAAAGATCCCCTGGTAACAAATCCAGTCACCCCATTAACCTACTTAAGCCTGCAGGATGCAAACTTGCCTAGGAAATGGCATCACCTTCTCTAGGCTGAAACAATCAGTTATTCTGGTGAAATCCCTCCTACAAGGCACTGGCACCAGAGCATGCACTGTTTCATATCACACTGCTTCCTGTGCTGTCACCTCAGACTGACAGCTCACTGCTCCTGGTCTTGATCAGGGTCTATCTCACTGTTTCGCTGGGGTGGAGAGAGCTGTACAACCTGTGGGACATGCTAAAGTCTCACACAGTTCCCATGGAAAGGTTACTGGTTTTGCTCAAAGAGAAAATTACCAGATACATGTAGTAATGACTCCACCAATTCCCTCTAACTGTGCAGAAGCAGCTATCACCCAGTGGACTGTGCTCCTTCTGTATAACACCTCCCTGATACATCCCCCAAAACAACAACCACCTCAAAAATGTGAATGCATTTTACACACAAACCCACACACCACATACACAGAGCTTATACAGAATTCATATTGTTATATTCTGCCAGTTTCTAAACACACATTCCAAAAAAAACAGGTTAAGAAGATCTGAAATACACAGTGGATTTAAGTCACTCATGTCAAAACACTGTCTTTTACTGTGGCAGGATCAAAGAGCATTCTTTATACTAGAGGTTCTGCTGTCTGGATTTGGTTTGCTATTCTGGCTAACAAGCCCTTATTTTCAGCTACTGTTACCTACAAATACATGACTAAAGCTACAAATCTGCATGCTGGAAATGAACATCATATTAGTAGAGGAATACAATTAAACTAGATTCAATTACACTAGAAATTCAACTGTGTTGCCATAAAACCATATTGACTTGTAAGAGCAACTTCTCTGACTTCTCTTTAATCCATCCTTTATCAAAAAAACCATAGCTCTGCATAGGAGAAACTCTTGTCTCAAATGAATAAGTACTAGCAAAAATCCATCTTCAGTGGAAAGAGGCATTATGGATTTTAAGCTCAATACACAGATATACAGATTTGGCTGTTCCTGTACAAAAAAACCCAAACAAACCCTGGTTTGTCTTTTAATTTTGTAAGATATGTCAATTTAGTTTAACTTCCCATTAAAAATACTATGGTCTATGTAATGTGGCATTGATGGTATTCCACCACAACAGACTTATCCAAGACCACAGGTTTTTGGACTAGAAGACCTGCTACTAGTGAGGATAGGAGTTCCAGAAGAATTTTTTACTACAATACATCATGCATGCCTGGTATGGTCCCATTAATCTTGGCAAATAAATATTCATGAGACTGAATGCTGCCACACCTTATGCTCCTTCTTGTACTACAGCAGGACTAGTTTGTCTTTGGTCCTATGTGTGATAGAAAATGTTAACTCATATCATTCTAGATAGAAAGATCACCTCTCATTTGACCAGACATGCTTTTGTGTTTTTTAAACATGGAAAAAAAACCCAGTGTTTTCATTATTCAATATTTCATAAAGCAACATGCACGAAATGTTGTTTTTATACATCAACAAACAGAAACAGTGTCCTACTCACATCTGCATTAGGCCAGAGCTCTTTGATTACATTTTCTATCCTGGTCACCACTTCCATCCGCATTCTCTCTTCTTCAGGTCTGGGAGACATATACTTATAAAAGTCAATGATTTCTTCATGAAGACTAAAAGAGATTTAAAAAAAAAGAGAACAAAAAGTCAGGGAAAAACCAACAGGCAAATGACATAGCAATTAGTGTAAACAAAGAAGCTCCTAGCTCCCTATTTCATGAAGGGACAGTTGAGAGCAGTGTGTGATTAAAAAGAAATCCACACTCACAACACTTAGTAACATTCAGTTCCCCATTAGCCTCGTATGCCAACGGGTCAATATTGCACTGCATTTGCTAAAAGTGTGGAAGCAAATCTAAATCCAAGTGCCTTCAATTCACACTGAAAGTCACACTCTATTTTAACGCCAGCGTAACACAGAAACGGTTCAGTCTTCAACTCTGAACGCAGCTGTAAGCTCTGAGTACACACTTCACAAAAATTTAAACAGGAGGTTTTTAGCCAACGCTTCCTAGTCAGCCCCTTGGCACCAGCCAGGGAGTTTCAGGCTGCAGTCTGTATTCAGTACCACGCTTTCAAAAGTTGACAGTAATTGTGCCAGTACTAGAGCTTGAAAAACTGCTTCTTTTACAGCTTACAGAAGTCACATAAACTAAAAATGAACTCTCCCCCCATAACCAGAGAATCAGTAGTACACGTGTAGCAGCGGTGGCTCAGAACAATGAGTGACTGACAGACAGTTAACCCATATATAGTTTACTGTATTACACGTGCTTCTCACAGTCAGTAAGTTATGTTTAGCTCTGCCTATGATTGGAGCCAAAATAAAAATGTCTTCCTACAGTGCTACAAATTTCTGTGCTGCTGTACTGTCATAAACACATCATCGTCTTGACTAACAGTGCAATTCCAGCCACAGAGTAACTAAATTCATTTTGTTTCCTGCAATGACCATTATAGTAATAGCTGGTTATCTTTTAAAAACATATTGTTTCTAGTTACCAGGTATAACTGCAGCTCTCCTTAAAGCTCTGAGGGACCATCAGAAGAGAGCAGTTTATTAAGAGCAAGCCCTTAGCTGAGATGTGGAATCTAATCCTTCCTCACTGCACACACACTTAAATAAATGAAAGGTTAATAACAGGAATTTGTATACAGGTGTCAGCAAAACAGACTAAAATATCCGACAGTTGTATTTAACAAAGTCACAGAAGGGAAAGAACTCAAACCACCTGCATAAAGTTCTTCAATACTGCAGCATTATGAACAACACAAGCTTCTCTCCCTGCCCCTCCAGCCCAGGTAGGGGAACAGTCACAAAGCCTGACAACTTGTGGTGGCCACCACCACAGCTCTCTATAAACAAAGCAAAGAGCAAAACTCCTCTGACAGAGGAAATTTCTTACCTCCCACAGCTGCTTTCTTGTTTTTCCTTGGGAGCTTACAGCCTAGAGTTAATGTGCACATTCCAAACTACTACTGCAATCCCTTACACCACACTGACTACTCTGCCTTAGCTTTTCAGCCATTTCTTGTTCTTCTACTGTTCACTGCTCTCCCAGGTGCTGGCATTTGAGCCTTCTCACAGCTACCCTCTCAGTGCAAGTACTGGATTCAGGTGAGAAGTATGTGATAAAGGATGACCAAACTCACTCTCTGTCCTCACTGCCAGTCACATACACTGAATTGATAATGTACTCTCCACATGCCTGACCACTAAGCTAGCATCCAAAACCAGAAACAAGGAAAACAGTCATAAAACCTCAATAAGCAAACCCTTGAAAATACAAATTATTTTTCAACTGCCATTTGGTGACCCAGCTTACAGGAAGACCTGGGAGTCAGGTCTGTCTTTGTGGGCTGCACAGTGGGGAACTGATCAAGGAACACAGCCCCATTTCTGCCTGTGCCTCTCTCGAGGTTACAGCTGCAAGGCACATGATGTGCCCCTGAGCAGTGATTTTAGTAAAGATTGAATGCATGTGTGCACTGTGTGCCATGAGAAGCGAGACCATGATGTCTGAGGGCATTGAACAGCTCCAGACATGCTGGGATGGCACCAAGGGGCTACCCCTGGGGAGAAATTCATGTATGGCACAGCACAAATCCATACTGCCCATCATTAGTGGGCCCAGCTGCTCCTGGGCTTCTGCTTTATGGGACTTAATTGTTCCCCTGCCCCATCAGGGAACTTTGAAAGAACAAGGCAATCAGAAATGAGGTCCCCAAAGTGCACAGAAGGCCAAACCATCCAGACACTGCAGTTCTCAGGACACTTCTCTTTATTAGCTCCACTGACACTCTTAATCGAGGTAATTATATCAATTGGTGGTCTTTAGAAGCATATAAAATAAAGATGTGCTGTCAGAAGCAGATGCACTTCTATTTCTAAATGTAAATCCCTCTAACTCTCAGGTAGCCACAAAAAGCTTTGTGGCAAAACAAAAAATGAAGCCACATGCAAACACACAGAAACTTACATTACACATGCATTGAATGATACTAAACACTGCAGATGTAGAAAACACAAAATCTGAACTGTTTCAATGACAGAAGAAAGGCTTAAAGACTACTGGAGACAGATCCCATCAGCACAGCAGTTGGAAATAGTACAGACATATCTGTATTTCATCTGCTGCAAGACTTCATGCTGCTAGGACCGTCGGAGCCGCGCTGAGCCAGGGTAGGCAGAAGGCTGCAAGAAGACACAAAGGCTCAAGACTACACCTGGAACAGTATTTCCCTGCCTAATAATGGCTGCTGCCAAGAAACAAGGGAATGATTAATTAAAGCCAAGACAAACAGAAGTAGCCACACGCAGATTTCAGAGCGGTACGACACGACTTAGAGGCGTGACTCCAATTAATGTGGAGTGAACTCACGCTGTATTGAAAATTAAAACTCAAGGTTATTCACTGTCTTAATCAACATCTATTACAGTCACTGTTCTTCAAAACAATTTGTTTGGACTAATGGAGTCTGTTTACAGAAGTCTCTAGTGAAATTTTCTATCTTTAGCCGAAATGAAGATCAAAGAGACCGAGATGTTCTTTTTGGCATCGTAACAGTATTTTATTATTTAATACCATTACATTCATTAGTTATTTCAGATAAAGGTCCTTAAAAGGAGACTTGTTTTTAGAAGGAAATTACACTGTAACAAACCTGATTTCACTATGGAGAGGTATTTCATTTGGCTTTATAGTCCTACTGAAGCATACCAAAAGCCAAGACCTACTTTGGACGCATGGAGAGAGCTCTCTGCAATGCATAAGAGAATTAGTTTGCTGTTTTTATCACAGTAAATAGCAGTAAACAAGTGGGTCTTTGTCCTGTACTTGAGGAAATCTTAACACATGGGGAAAAGAAAAATAAAATCATCTCTTACACTTCCTCTAAGTAGGTTTTAAAACAAACTTCTACCTGCATCACACCCTGTTTTCAAGCCTGGTAAACTGATTCCATCAGAATTTCAGACAGAACAGAATTACAGAGAAGAGAAGCCACTCCACACAGTGGATTACAGTGTCTGTTATGTTCACCCGACAGAGACAGTGCTGCATCATTAAGAAATGAATTATGGCTGCCAAAGTTGTAATCACAAGAATGACTTCCCACCGTGACATCCCTGAATAGCCCCACAAGGAACACAAGACTCTGAGACTAAAGCTGTTTAGGTGAAAAGCTGCAGCTTTTGTGCAGGTGCAACTGCTATGGAACACAGTGCATGACATTACTTTTGTAGTTTAATCACACCTTATTTTATTTTGTAACACAACTTGAAGGCTCTAAATGTGCAGCTCAGGAATCTCAAACTAGTTTAGATATATTTAAAATGTTGTTATACTGAAGTATGAATCTCGCTGCTCCTCTGGCAATCAATTGAAAAATTATCACGTACCAACTAAATGTTGTTTCTGTTTTATATGCAGAGCACACAGATAACATGGACAAGCACATACACTTGATCATGCACTTCAGTTACCTGACACATAAAAAACAGCACAACCCTCTCTAACCTGTACTAACCAGAGTAAATTAGTTTTCATTAAAAAATTTCCTGATTTTGTCATTCCTGCATTTGTTGTTATACGTCTACTCTCCTCTGGCTCTTCTTCACTCTTCATTTCACAGGAGAAATTCTGCAGGCATGGATGTTCTAATTTCTCTCATCAGGGCGTTACCCATGGCTTCTGCTCCAACTGCTAAAAATTCTGCTCATCCATCCCAGAGAGATTCCTCTGCCTTGGGCATATATATTCCTTTTCATAGGGAAGGCTATTTGCAACATCACTGAAGATAATTTATAACAATGGATATTAACCATACTCAAAAAAACTGTCAAGTGCTCACACACTGCAATTTCTTTTTGGCAGGATTTTCTGAAAGAAGCTTCATTTTCAGAATGATGAAAATCTAAATTATTAAGAAACTCTGTGGACAGTGGGCAGAAGTAAACAATGAACACACAGATTACTTTCACCTTACCAAACTCTATGCTTTGAGATGAAGCACTTCTGATTTAAGAGTTTAATGATTTTGTACCCACACTTGAAATGATATTAGCATGGTACCCTGGTAGCACTGTATTAGCCTTTTGTATCTGAGTTTTCTTTGGATGAACAATTCATACAGGACAGTGTTTAGTTGCCCCTTCCATTTTAAGTCTCCTCTGGAGAGCAAAAGAAAAAATCAAAGGCAACAAAGAGAAACACTGTAGAATTTCAGGTTTCTAATTGTCTTTGGGGAAGAAGGTAAAGGAGGAACCTGAGGTATTTGGGGTCCTGAAAGCATCAATACTTAGAGCCCAAACTGCATCCATCCCTCCACTCCCGAGAGGAAAGATAGCATTGCACAGAAGAGAAAATAAGTTCAGTTTGAAGCTTCCAAAGGTATTTTACTAAGAAAAAGATTGTACTGGCTTTGCAACTGAAACAAAAAATGGCAGGAAACTGTCAAAACTTCCAAAGTTTCATGAACTAAACAAAGGTTTTCCCCTTTCCATTCATGACCTACTTGGTTCTGAAGTGGCTTTGAACAACATTGCACTAAGGCAAAGGAAAGACACAGAGACAAATCCTCCCTCTCCCCCTCAGAATTGTATTGG